GTCCCGCCTTAGGCATGAAAGCCAGTTGGGATAACTTTAATCCAATCACCAGGAGACGGTGAGTTCTAGTCCCGCCTTAGGCATGAAAGCCAGTTGGGATAACTTTAATCCAATCACCAGGAGACGGTGAGTTCTAGTCCCGCCTTAGGCATGAAAGCCAGTTGGGATAACTTTAATCCAATCACCAGGAGACGGTGAGCTCTAGTCCCGCCTTAGGCATGAAAGCCAGTTGGATAACTTTAATCCAATCACCAGGAGACAGTGAGTTCTAGTCCCGCCTGAGCCATGAAAGCTGCCTGGGTGACTTTGGGCCAATCAGCCAGAGACGGTGTGGTGGTGGGCTCAACTGTGGTCGTAAGTTGAGGACTACCTGCCCAGGGTTATCCTCACCTGTAGAACAAGACGTAAGCCTCGGCGTTCTGCACGATCGTTTCGTGCACTTCGGTCACGTACTGGTCGTCGAATTCGTACCACTGGCCGTTGATCATGTTCTGGCAGTAGGCAATGTAATGTCCACCTGGGAGCGAGAGGCCGAGCATTTGGTGGGGTCCGGAGCCCCCGGCCCGCTTCCGGAACCCGTTCAGAGGAATCGGGGACAGGAAGGCGGGTGACTTACTGCCGGCTGTGCCGTGGTGGCAAATCACCGAGAGGAGGTCGTAATTGGTGACTTTGGAGGGGCTCTCCTTGGCCAGGAAGGGCCGCAGGTCCAGGCCTTCCAGGGGGAAGGAAACGTGGCTGTTGATTTTGAAGGAGTACATGACTTCGTGCCGGAAACGCTTCAGATGGATGCAGAGGACCTGGGGGTGAGGGAAGAAACCGTTTGAAATACGTCTGCAGAGACCATCAGCTGCTCTCGTGGAACAGTCACCATTAGACCCTGCAGGAGAGGGAAGGAAGGACTTACAGGGACCTTCGGTCTAAAACGTCACTTCCTTCCTTCGTTCTTTCTTCCCTCCCTCTCTCTTTCTCATCTTCCTCCCTCCCTCCCTCCCTCCCTCCCTCCCTCATTGTTGGCAAAAGCAGGCAAAGGGAAAAGGCTCACTTCAGGCAGCTGGAGCACTTTGCAGTACTTGATTCCGTTCCGCAACCTGGAGGAGGAACAAAAGGAGGAGGAGGAGGAAGAAAAGAAGAAGAAGAAGAAGAAGAAGAAGAAGGAGGAGGAGGAGGAGGAGGAGGAGGAGGAGGAGGAGGAGGAGGAAGAAGAAGAAGAAGAGGAAGAGGAAGAGAAGGAAGAGGAAGAAGAAGAAAGAAGAAGAAGAAGAGGAAGAGGAGGAAGAGGAAGAGGAAGAGGAAGAGGAAGAAGAGGAAGAAGAGGAAGAAGAAGAAGAAGAAGAAGAAGAAGAAGAAGAAGAAGAAGAAGAAGAAGAAGAAGAAGAAGAAGAAGAAGAAGAAGAAGAAAAAAAAAAAAAAAAGGACTGGTCCAGCGTTTCTCAAACATAGCAGCTTTTAAGATGTCTGGACGTCAACCCCCAGAACCCCCCAGCCAGGTTTCCTTGAGCCACTCCTGGGCTGCTCCCAATTTTATTCTCCCACCCAGATGCTGAGTGTTGGGAGTGAGCAGGGAAAACATCTGGGAGGGGGATTGTGGAAAGGGAGGACTTCTCCCCGCTACGGGACGTGGGTCAAAGGGAGGGTGGGAAAAGGGACTTACTTTTTACATCTTTCACAGCTGTACATGTTGTCACCTAGAAGAGAAACAAGGTGAAGACAAGCATTGTTAGGGTGCTCCTCAAGTGGACAGTGACCCATTTCTTGCTCTCTCTCAAACTGCCCCCCAAAAACTATGCAAGGCTGACTTAGTTTGTGCTTCGATGGGGGACCACCAGGAGATCAAACTGGAAAATTAAAACAGACAGACGTCTACAAGAAGTCCTTGAAGTATTTGTTACTATCACAATTGGGGCCAGAATGTCCACTGCTAAGCAAAGCAGTTATTGAGTCACATAAGATTTTATATTTTTGGTACGGACATTAAGTGAATCACTGCAAGTAGGTGAATTATGCAGTCATTAAGCGAATCTGGCTTCCCCTACTGACTTTGCTTGTCAGAAGCTGGGTGGGAAGGTGGCAAAGGGTGATCATGTGACCCTAGGACGCTGCAACCGTCGTAAATACATGCTGGTACCAAGCACCCGAGTTTTGATCACATGACCCCAGGGATGCTGTGACGGTTACAAGTGTGAGGACTGGTTATATAAGTCATTTTTCTCAGTCTAACTTTGAGCAGTCACTAAGCAAATGGCTGTAAGTTGAGGGGGACCTGTGCCATCATACTAGCCTCTCTTTCAAGGACCTGGCCTTTCTCCCTGCAAACACACCTTTCAACTCGTCTGCAGCGAAAAAGGCAGCCAGGCAGTCTTCCAGGGTGACGACGGGCCCCCAAAACCAGCTGGGGATACAGGACACCACAAACCTGGGGAAGACAAAGAGACAGGTGTGTGAGTCCTTCTGGACCTGACGCCCTGCTTGTAATTACCATGTGGATTTGTACTTAGGACTCCTGGAAAACTACTCCTGGGGAACAAATCATTCTGAGCCTCGCTTCTACGTCCAAATTTTGACCACAGGGATGCTGTAACGGTGCCACTGTAACTTTGAATGGTGACTAAATGAACTGTTGCTAAGTCGAGGACTACAGTAGAGCAGTGTTTCTCAACCTTTAGCCACCTTCAGAGGTGTGGACCTCTGAAAGTGGCTAAAGGTTGAGAAACACAGCAGCAACGGTACAGCGCCGATGTCTGAACCACAGACCTGCGAATGTAGTCCATGATGAAGGCGATCCAGCCCTGCGAGGCGGCATAGTTGTCACCGCAGGCTCCTGTCTTGACTGGCACATTTTGGTAAATGGCTGAATGTAGTTTAGCCAAGTCTTCCTTCCCGGGAATCGGCAGCGACAGATCCTGGAAGGTCTCTACGGTGGTGGAAACCTGGAAAGGCATCAAAGGAAGAGAGAAGAAAGTGAGAGAAAGAAAATGAAAGTTAATGAAGGAGGAGATACATTCGATTTCGCAGCTACTAAGGTTGTTGGCGGAGCAGGTACCAAAACAGCCAGAAAAATGATCGAAGCCTGGGAAACGGACTGGTTTAGCACCAGCCTATCAGGTACTTAGGAGCCAAGGACTTGGCAGCACAAGGCGACAATAGCCAATCACTGGCCATCAACACACCAATAAGTCAACAGGAAGGCACCACATATACGACACACAGGAGAGCCTAAAGCACACATTCCAGGAAAGAGAAATTCCCTGAGGACGGGCTCCAAGACGAGTCCAAAAGCTCAGAAGGCTAAACAGTGACCTACCAGATTGGATCTTGCAAGAAAGTTAAGCTCCCGCCTGGGCCCATCATTCCTATACCAAACACTAGGCAAAACCCCTCTCCGGGTGGCCGAACTCTGGCGCGACGGGCAGCCACAACTGAAGGAGAGGGTGTGGAAAAGGGCCGGCTTCTTTCCAAGAAAACTCACTCGGTCACAGGTGAGGCACTGGACGAGGCTGAGAATGGAGCCGTCAAAGATGTCGGAGATGACGCTACGGTAGCGCAACTCTTTCTTCCTTTTTCCAGACGTCAACAGCTGAGCTGGAGGAGGAGGCGGAGGCAAATGAAGACAGAAGGAAGATAATAGGGCCAGCGGCAATAGGCACCTGCAAAATATCTGGAGCACCGCTTGCACACCGATAGCCACAGCAGGCTTATATACCGCTTCACAGCCCTCTTAAGCGGTTTACAGAGTCAGCCTCTTGCCCCCCAACAATCTGGGTCCTCATTTTACCGACCTCGGAAGGATGGACGGCTGAGTCAACCATGAGCCGGTCAGGATCGAACTGCTGGCAATGAGCAGAGTTAGCCTGCAACCCTGCCATTCTGGCTATTGCACCACCAGGGCTCCTAACACCACTGGCATTGACCGAAATCCCCATCGGTCAATTGCAAAAGGCAGCTTCGCTTGGATGCCTGTAACCCCATCAAAGAACACCGGCCTACCCCAGGTCCTTCAGATTCCCAGTCAATATGGAAGCTAAATTCACTTAACAGCCCCAGCAGCCGTGGTCGTAAAACCAGGGGCGCTCAGCCGAGGACTCAGAGAAGCAGATCACGCAGGAAACCATCTCCTCCTACCTTTCTTCAGCACGTAGGAGGCTCCCAGCCTCACAGGGCTGGAATGCGGAGGATTCGAGAGCTTGGCGTACATATCATGGTGGATGGGGCTGCAGGGCCGCGACGAGCAACGAGGGTAGGCGTCATTATCTGGCTCTGGGAAGGATGAGATTTTATTTTATTTACTGATTAAATTTTTATGTCTCCCACCTCCTCTGTAAGGCGAGTCTGAGTGGCTTAAAAATGCAGAGAGGAGGAGGAGGAGGAGGAGGAGAAGTGGGAGAAGATAAAAAAAGAAGGCAGGAGAAGATGAAAAGAGAGGAGGGGAGGAGATGGGAAAGGAAAAAAGGAGAAGGAAGATTAATAATAAATGAGGGAGGGAGGACGAGGAGATGGAGGGAGAGAGGGAGGAAGAAACATGGGAAAAGAGAAGGAAGGAAGGAAGGAAGGAAGGAAGGAAGGAAGGAAGGAAGGAAGGAAGGAAGGAAGGAAGGAAGGAAGGAAGGAAGGAAGATGGGAAAGGGGGAAAGAAGGAAGATAAATGAGAAAGGGATGGCTGGATGGGGAGAGGGAAGAACAGAGGAGAGAAAGTGTAGAACAGCAGATCCATAGGGAACTTCCAGTCCAGCTCTCCCAAAACGGAGGTGGTATATATAGCCAAGACTGCCAAACTGCTCTGGCCAATCAGAACAAGCCTCTGGGCCCTAGTGAGCGATCCTACATCCCCAAGAGCTTTCTTAGAAACAGGAGCAACAGCCTCCCCTTTCCTGCTTCTTCTTTCTTTCCTCCTAATTCACCCCAATAATTTCTAAAAGGGAAAAAAAAAGGCGGCCTCGGGAGATCGCAAAGCTCGCATGGTCCAGAGACCAATTTTCCACCTCCACCTACATCCCCTCTGGGTCCTACCTGGGGTCTTCACAGGGCTGGCGGGTCGAGGAGGGGGCGGCAGGAGCCCTTCCGGAGAAGCCCCGCCCTCCACCGCCATCACCGAGGTGTCGACGTCGGCATCTTCGTCCACTTGCTCCGAGTTGCTCCGCCGTTGGTGGCAGGAGAACTTCCGATCCTTCATCCGTTCCTTCTCGGAGATGCTCCGGCCCGCCTCGTCCTGGATCAGCAGCTCCGCTTCGACCGAGGCGGGGCCCATTTTGCTCTGCCCGTCCCCTTCTCCGCGGTCGCTGCTCGAGTCGCAGGAGAGGAACTCGTCCTCCGAGGGGCTGCGGTCCCCCTCCCTCTTCTCGTCCGTGTCGCTTGCGTCCGAGTCGCGCAGCTCGGCCGCCACCGGCTCCTTCAGCTCTTCGTGAAGTTGGTCCATCAGGCAGCGGAGAAATTCCTGGGTGTCCTAAGAAGGGACGGAAAGGAGACCAAAGCAGGAGACTCTTTCCATTTCTCCGGGACCAAATCCACAAGCGATTCTTCCTCGGGGTATCCTCCAACGACCTCCGTCTTTTATTAGACTAGAGGGTCTCCTGCTTTGTAACAATGGCAGCAAGGAGACCCCAGGCCATTCCCACCTACCTCAGCAGAGGGAACCTGCTCACCTGTTGTGCGTAGCCCCGGAACATGGGGTTGATCAGCTTGATGCTGTGGGAGAGGCTGCTGGGGACAACGTAGCTCGGGCTAGGAAGAAGGGAGGACAGACCGTAACAATTGTGTGTGTGTGTTTATTTTCCACCCACCCACCCATCCACCAATGCTAAAATTTTGCTTTGCATCTCCCAAACGGTGCTCTCCTCAGCCGACTCACCGTTTTTTGTGCCAGACTTCGGAGATCAGCTTCTGGTAACTTTTGCAGAGCGCCGGCTTCTTGTCGGTTCTCACGAGGCCTCCGCATTCGAGGAAGAACTGGGTGAGTGGGGGGCTAAAACGGAGGCAATAAAGCTGACTATTCATTTGATCTGCCTGAATTTCCCGATTTCCCGCCCTCGATAGAGCCCTTCGGTTTTGGTCCAGCATCCCAGACCTCAACGAGGCCTTTCAGTTCTGCCACCTACCAGTTGGAGAGAGCCTGGAGAGCAGCGTTCATGTAACACGAATTCCCCAGGTTTTTCATCCCCGTAAGGCCTAACGGGGCAGGAAGGCAACGTGTGAAGCTCTTGACACCCCCGGTAACCCCTTTGCCACCCCCCCCCCCCAGGGAGAAGGAACGCCAGCCGGCTCACCTCTTGGTTTCAGGTCGTCGTCTTCCGATTCCGATTCTCCTTCGTCAGCGACGGCGATCGGGACAGCTTTGAGCGGGTGGACAGGCGGGAGAGCATCCTGGAGCAAGAATGGGAAAAGCCAGATTCACTTAATAACCAGGTCACTAAGTTAACTGCAGTGATTCACTGCGGCAAGGAAGGCCGTAAAGTGGGGCAAAACCTACTTAACAAATTCTCGCTTAGCAACAGAAAGGCTGGGTTCAATTACAGTTATAAGTCAAGGACTACCTGGGCTCTCAGTACGGAGGTTCGGTGGGTGGCTGGGGGGGAGACAGGGGGACCCTCTCAGCTCTGCCTACCTCAAGGGTTGTTGTTAGAGGAGGACCAATACTGGAGGCAGCGGTGCTCAGCATGGCCGTCTTTAAGCACCGATGTAAACCTCAACAGCCCAAAAAGCTCGGAACTCTTTCGCGTTCTTCAACCAAGAAAAAAAGGGGGGGATGAAGGCAGCACAATCCACAAAACTACCCCGCTACCTGTTCCATAAATTTGGAAGGCAGATTTGCAGGATGGGAAGCCAGAGTTTGGTCCAAGAACACCTCCTTCTCGCACGCGTAGCACCACACCCGAAACGTGGTCAAGTTCACCGTCAAATTGTGCTTTTTGGCCTGGTGGGGGGAAAAGGAAAAAAAGACCAAAATAGCAATGAGGGTTTGTGATTCACAGACTTCACCAACTTACAGACTACAGATTAACGGAATTGGAAGGGACCTTGGGAGGTCTTCTAGTCCAACCCCCTGCTCAAGCAGGAAAGCCTATACCCTTTCAGACAATCTCTTCTTAAAAACTTCTAGTGCTGGAGAATTTCACAACTTCTGGAGGCAAGGAGTTCCGCTGATTAGTTGTTCTCACTGTCAGGAAATTTCTCCTTAATTCTAGGTTGGATCACTCTTTGGTAAGTTTCCATCCGTTGCTTCTTATCCTGCCTTCAGGGGCTTTGGAGAACAGGTTGACCCCCTCCCCCTCTTTTTTGTGGCAGCCCCCCAGATATTGGAAGACTGCTATCATGTCTCCCCTAGTCCTTCTTTCCATGAAATTAGACATACCCAATTCCTGCAACTGTTCTTCATATGCTTTAGCCTCCAGTCCCCTAGTCATCTCTGTTGCTCTTCTCTGCACTCTCTCCAGAGTCTCAACATCAGGGAATCAATTTACTCAACTTAGTGAGATGAAGCTGGTAACGAACCGCTCACCTGGGCGTGCAAAGTGCTGTGATCCGCAAAGGACTCCCCACAGCCGACGTAATGGCAACCAACCTAAGGGAAGCAGACGGACCTATTTAAGCTGAAGCAAATTTAATTTGAAGTCGTTGCATTTGCAAGGCAGGCAGAAAACCCGGCCTTTATGGCCTCAAAGGACTCTTCCCAATCCAGTAACTCACTAGATTTAACAAGTGGAGGAACACAACAACCCCCTTTGCAAAGGTTTTTTTTGGGGGGGTGTCTTACCTGAAGGCAGGCCCATAGATTTGGTCCTCCCGCACCGCAAGACTGGCATGTTCCCTAGATTTACATGGCGGAGAAAAGAAAAAAAAATGAAAAATGTTGACCTGATTCCTGGTGATTTCCCAGGCACCCCCATTCCCCCCCCCAAAAAAAACAATATTGAAGCAGTGACATCATTATGCATTTATAGGCTGTACGTTTTATTTAGACTAAGAGATTGCATTATTCTGAAATCACATTATCTGACTGCTTGGTATGCAAGTTTCGTATTTTTAGTTTTGTGTCCTCTTTTTTGTTAAACTAAAACAAGAATGTACAGGGAGTCCTCAACTTACAATCATCCAACGACTGTTCGTAGTTGCAATAAGTTGAGAACCACCTGTATATGCCAGCAAGGATAAATGTTGCTACAGACAGAGACACTTACCTTGGACTTGAAAAGCATGTCGTCCTTGGTGACCTCACCTATGCAATCCAGGTGAGGACAGAGGTCTCTTGGGTCCCCCATCTTGTGCCTGGGCTCCCCTAAAGGGAGGGGAGAAAGGGCTCGGAGAAACAACAAGCTCCTTTTTCCAGGCCAGCTCAGCCCACCATCCGTGCCTAAAACGAAGAGAGATGGGTCTCAGACTTGCCTCTTTGCATTAGGATGCAGATGACTGGATTCCAAAAAGGCAACTAAAATATTTAATCTTCTGAATGTTAAGTGTTTTGTATAATTCATGAGCCCTTGGGAAAGACAGCAGTCTAAAAATGTAGCCAATAAGTAAACAGAACAGTATTTACAATTCCAGTATAATTCCTGTATCAATACTCTGCCTTCCCAAGGCACTGAAGGTGCAAAAGAAAATAGAAACAATTAAAAATAGTTTTTTTTAAAAAAAAACAACAAACAATTATGAGTACCACCCAGAAGGTCTGGCAGGAAAGGAAGAATTTCACTTTTCTTTCTCAATCAATATTTCTCAATGTTGGCCACTTGAAGATGTGTTAAAAAACTTCTTAGTTCCCAGCCCACATAGTCTACACATCTTAAAGCATGCTGTCTGGGGAATTCTGGGAATTCCAATTCAGATATTTTAAAGTTGCTAAGGTTGAGAAAAAACCTGCATTAGGGATTCTAAACGACAAAAATTTGCAGCAGTCCTTCTGTCACCTAGTTATATGAAGGGAAAATGCAGGATGAAAAATTAATCGCAACCTTGCTTGCGATACCCCCTTCTCTCTTGCAGATTTTAAATGCAGCTGATTTTCCATCTTTCTTTCTCATTCAGTGTGAGTACTGTGTAGGGAGCAAAACAACAGAAGGAACACGTTCTTTCATATCTACTGAGCTAGAAAAAATTCCCACAGCTTTCCAGCCATGGGCTAGATTTTTCAGCTACTAAGCTCTTGGCTAAATGCAATAAAAATATAATACTGCTCCACCGGCTCTTGAATCCTTCTCTAAATCAATGGAGGCCCATTGACAGCCTGATAAATACTAATTAAGATGCAGTTCACAGCATGTTCCCTATTCTGCTTTGCCTGGCTCAGTCAAACAGCAGCCACGAGAAGCTTTAAATGAACCGCAGTTTGTTTCGGCCTTGCACAACATGCAATGTGGCAGTCCTTTGGCACAAACACAATGCTTTCTGAGCAACTTAAAAAAGAAATCAATATTATAGAAGAGAAAAAGAACTCAAGAATTCAGTTCATGGAGGGAGTCAAGCTATTCTCCAAGGCGCCTGAAAGCAGGACGAGAAGCAACGGATGGAAACTGATCAAGGAGAGAAGCAATCTAGAACTAAGGAGAAACTTCCTGACAGTGAGAACAATTAACCAGTGGAACAGCCTGCCTCCAGAAGCGGTGAATGCTCCAACACTGGAAGTTTTTAAGAAGAGACTGGACAGCCATTTGTCTGAAATGGTATAGGGTTTCCCGCCTGAGCAGGGGGTTGGACTAGATGACCTCCAAGGTCCCTTCCAACTTTATTATTAATATTATATCTATCTAATCATCTATCTATCTATCTATCTATCTATCTATCTATCTATCTATCTATCTATCTATCTAATTTTGAAACTGCTCATCTCCCGGGGTGGTATACAAATCACAAAATCATAGGACTGGGAGGGACCTTGAAGGTCTTCTAATCCAACCTGTTGTGCAAGGCAGGAGTCCTTATACCACCACAGACAAATGGTTGTCCAATCTCTTCTTAAAAATCTCCAGTTTTGGAACACCCACAACTTCTGGAGGCAGGTTGTTCCACTGATTAATTGTTCTCATTGTCAGAAAGTTTCTCCTTAATTCTAGGTTGCTTCTCTCCTTGATGAGTTTCCATCTGTTGCTTCTTGTCCTCCCTCTTCTCTGTGACTATCATGTCCCCCCTTGTCCTTCTCTTCATACCCAATTCCTGCAACTGTCCTTCATATGTTTCAGCCTCCAGCCCCCTAATCATCTTAGTTGCTCTTCTCTGCACTCTTCCCAGAGTCTCAGCATCTTTTTTATAATGTGGTGACCAAAACTGGACTCAGTATTCCAGGTATGGTCTTGCATCCACATTTAGAATACTGTGAATTTTTTTCCCCCAGTATGGTTTCCCAGTTTGATGCATTTTGTTCATCTACCAGATTTATACAGCTGCCCGACTCACAGTGATTGGTTTTAGAAAACCACTTTGGCCCTCCTCGTTCAATTTGGCACCCTTTTCAAGTTTGCAATGCTGGCACCTTCCAAGCTGTATTAAATAAACCAGAAGGGTTTTCTGGAAATCGCCCCCCCCCCAAAGTCCCCAAAAGCATCAACTGGTTGTTCCTAGCACGGATAAAAACAAAGCCTTCACGTGGTTGTTCAGAGGCTTAGCAACCAATTATTTCTTTCAGCTCCAATGGAGACTTACTCATCATTTTCCCCACAAAAGCTGGAGCTGTTCACAGCTGCTTTTTTTCTGCCAGCTTCATTCTTTCCCCTCTGTTTTTCACCCCTATCCTGAAAAGGGAAGAGCCGTTTTTCCCCCTCTTCCCAAGGTCCTTTCCCTCATGAAAACACTGGTCTTTGGGAGGCCTCCCTAAACAGAACACAAACTTCAGGTAGTCCTTGACTTACGACCACAAACAAGCCCAAAATTTCTGTTGGTAAGCAAGACAGCCAGTTGTTAAATGAGTTTTTGCCCCTTTTTACGACCTTTCTTGCCACAGCGGCCGTTAAGTTAGTACCACACCAGACACCCAACCTAACCCAGGTCGAATGTGAGCTGGACCAAGAGGTCGTGGGAATGCAGATGGGGGGAAAGGGAGGGCAATATTCTGCTATGATGGGGGGGGGAGAGATGGGGAAGCCCCCTCTCCACTTTACCCATTATTTATTATTTATTTGATCTCTCTAGCTGCCCATCCCAACAAACGATTCTGGGCGGCTCACAATTCGAAAACACGTATAACAAAAACATTCGAAAACAATAAACAAACATTAAAACCATCAGGATCTCTAAAAATACCAAGGTCGATTAGGGGAGGGGTCCTGCCTTGAGACCCTTCTTTTAGCTCTTAAGGGGATCCCCCTACCCAGTTTTCTCAGCACTGTCAGAGCCCCCCCCCTTTCCCCGGAAGCTCAGGCTCGCCCGGCCGCCTCCGACGCGCCTTCCTCGGCTGGGCGCGCTAGGCGAGGCCGGGGCTTCAGAGCAGGCTAGGCCGCAAAACCTTCCTTCTCGTCTTCTCGGCCGCTGAGCCGGGGGACGGGGCCGGGGGGCAAAGCGAGGCCCCGGGGGGGTCGGGGGGGTCGGAGTCCGGGCGGGGAGGGGCGATGCTTACCGGCCGGGGCCGCCTCGGAGGGCGACGCGCCGCTCGGGGGAAGCGGGCGACGGCGATGGTGTCGGGGGCGGGGCCGCGGAGGAGGAGGAGGCGGGGCGGGGCGGAGCCTCGCAAGAGAAGGCGGTCCAGAAGAGGGGTCGGGCCAGATGCCCTCGGGGTGCCCCCACGGACTCCGTTTCTTCTCTAAGCGATGAGCAAGATGACCTCTGGGGACCCAAAGACCCCAAATCTCCTATAGACAGCAGGCCAGATGCCCTCGGGGTGCCCCCACGGACTCCGTTTCTTCTCTAAGCGATAAGCAAGATGACCTCTGGGGACCCAAAGACCCCAAATCTCCTATAGACAGCAGGCCAGATGCCCTCGGGGTGCCCCCACGGACCCCGTTTCTTCTCTAAGCGATGAGCAAGATGACCTCCGGGGACCCAAAGACCCCAAATCTCCTATAGACAGCAGGCCAGATGGCCTCGGGGTGCCCCCACGGACTCCGTTTCTTCTCTAAGCGATGAGCAAGATGACCTCTGGGGACCCAAAGACCCCAAATCTCCTATAGACAGCAGGCAAGATGCCCTCGGGGTGCCCCCACGGACTCCGTTTCTTCTCTAAGCGGTGAGCAAGATGACCTCTGGGGACCCAAAGACCCCAAATCTCCTATAGACAGCAGGCCAGATGGCCTCGGGGTGCCCCCACGGACTCCGTTTCTTCTCTAAGCGATGAGCAAGATGACCTCCGGGGACCCAAAGACCCCAAATCTCCTATAGACAGCAGGCCAGATGCCCTCGGGGTGCCCCCACGGACCCCGTTTCTTCTCTAAGCGATGAGCAAGATGACCTCTGGGGACCCAAAGACCCCAAATCTCCTATAGACAGCAGGCCAGATGCCCTCGGGGTGCCCCCACGGACTCCGTTTCTTCTCTAAGCGATGAGCAAGATGACCTCCGGGGACCCAAAGACCCCAAATCTCCTATAGACAGCAGGCAAGATGCCCTCGGGATGCCCCACGGGCTCCAGGTGCTTCCTGGACAATGGGCAGGATACGCACTGGGGGACCCAACGAGTCTGTTTCCTCTCTAGGTTTTGGCCAAGATGACCTCTGGGAGCCCCAAGATTCCTATTTCCACTATAGACAGTAGGCAAGACGCCCTTTGGGTCGTAACTCTGAAAAACGGTCATAAGTCGATTTTTTCCCCCGTTCTGTTGTAACTTTGAATGGCCACTAAATGAACTTTTGTACTTCGAAGACTACCTGTGTTGCTAAGAAAGAGGACACTCAAGATTGCTTCCCGGACAGAGCATCTTCCGTCCCCACCTGCTTTTATGTATGATGGAACCTGCATTTAATACAGGCAATAGCAAGCAGGACATTTATTCCCCCGTGTGAATGCAGTGACACACAGCGCTATCGTGGCCTTGCTGCAGATGGGGGCTGCTTCCCACAGTCGAGAAAAATAAATTAAAAATACAGCAGATTAAAAAAAAAAAAACCAAAAAGGAGACTCTCATCTCTCCCTTGTATCATTATCTATACTTCTCCTACATCTAACGGTATCCTCTGCCCTGACCTTCTAAGGGCAAGTAGAGTCGCAGCGGGCGGCTTCGTCGCGCGGTATGACGTCACGCGACGCGCGCCCCCAGCTTGCAAAACAGGAAGAGCTCTGTGGCAGCCCCTTTTAGCAAAATTGATTTGAGGAGGTGGGAGATCTCCAGTCATGCCGGCCGGGAAGACTTTCCGCCGGAGGAAGGCCGACTCCGAGGAGGAAGAGGAGGATGAGCTGGTGGCCGAGGAGGTTCGGTGGGTGCCAGTGGGGGGCTTGAAATATTGGGATGGCCTTTTGTTTCTGTTGTTTATTTTTTTATGAAATTTATCAGTCAAGTGTTCAAGTGATGCTCCAGATTATTATTAATTATTATTTCCGTTCTTTGGTTCTGCTCCAGTTTAAAACTAGAAGAAGCGAAGGAAGTACAGAGTTTAAGAAGGAGACAAAATGGAGTAAGGTAATAACTATTTTTTTTCCATGGAGTCGTAATGTCAAGGTAATCTTAGTAGCAAGCACAGACTGAGATCCTGGATTTTTGTTGCAACCCGTTTATATCCTGAGAAACTGAGATTCTGAAAAACATCATCCTTGTGAACATTAAGGTATGTTCTCATATCTGCCATTTGGCTAAGAATTGTTAGATTCCACTACAAGCTCACCAACATGTTGCACAGAGCCAACCAATTGTGATTTATAGATCAGGGCTTGCTGGAATATGTGATGAGTTCAAGGACAAGGAAGGAAATATCAAAGGAAAATATCAAACTCTCCTAAGTAAGATTACCCAAATTGACCCTAGATTGTATTGTTAGCAGTTTTGAAATAAAAATGGAAGGTTCTCTTAAATCATCCTAATTCTTCATTCTTGTCTCTTTCCCCCCCCCCCCCCAAGTGCTGCAGCCTTGCTTGTCGGAGAAAAGCTACAAGAGGAGACAACTTTGGTGGTAAGATCAGAGTGGGAAGCCTTGAGATGAGAGGCCTGTAAACACTCCCCCCTCCCCCCAAAGGTGTTAAGTGATGTGCAAACGCCACCCACTTCGGTGTATTGTTAATAGTGGTTTAACAATTCTTGATTTAGAGCAATAGGTGACCTTGATGGCTGAGGAAGCCCAGTTGGGTAAAATCAGCATTCGTGGCCCTTGGATTCCACCATTTTCTTCTCCAACATCTGCAAAAGAGGCCCTGAGCACCTTCTCTCTGTTTATTCTCTCCACATGACCAGGATGATCCCTTTAAGATCAAGTCGGGCGGAATGGTGGACATGAAGAAGTTGAAAGAGCGGGGAAAGGAGAGGTGGGTCCCTTCTGGCCCCCGTTGTGAGATGGAAAGCCAAGGAGTAACATGTGCCTTCTTAAAGCAGAGCCTCTTAGATATTTTGAATTGAGGGTTGGCTGAGAATTCTGGCTCTTTTGTCTTCAGGCTGCTTAGAGTCCTCTTTGTCGCCCTTCTATAGGATCAGCGAAGAGGAAGACCTCAATCTTGGCACCTCGTTTTCAGCCGAGACCAACAGGAGGGATGAAGATGCAGACATGTATGTAACTGGCTTGCCATTATTTGCTTGCTTGCTTGCTTGATGACAGAATTTGATAAATAAATCGGACCTGATGAACCACTGGGTCTTTTCCTGCCCTCGGTTTTCTGCGTTTCTGAGTTGGGGTCTCTCATTCAGGATGAAATACATCGAAACTGAGCTCAAGAAGAGGAAGGGGATTATGGAAAGCGAGGTGCAGAAAATAAAGCAGAAGAACGCAGAGGACTGTCTGTATGAGCTACCGGAGAGCATCCGGGTCTCTTCGGCGAAGAAGACGGAAGAGATGCTTTCCAATCAGATGCTGAGTGGGATTCCTGAGGTGGACCTTGGAATTGAGTAAGCTGACAGTTTCAAATCCAATAAAGGAGAATATTTGTAGCTCCGGGTTGAAATGAGGGGACTTTGGTACTCTCTGAGCTTGGTTGTTTTCTTACATTTCATTACCCAAACTAGGTAGCATCATCAGTCTTAGCTACCTAGTTTGGGTCATGAAACGTCTGCAAGAAAACAATTCCAGCTCAGAGAGCACCACAGATTCCTCATTTCAAGGGCTACAAATATTCTCCTTTCAAAGATTGCAATGTCAACAGTAAAAATTATAACTCAAAGATTTTAAAAAAGCGACATTCCTTTACATCAGGACAAGTATAAACAATTTCAGTAACTTACCACCTTCTCTTAATATACAACCAATGATCTCTTTTTCCCATGTCCAATCTCTTATCTATAAACAAATCCATACAAAGCATTCCAGTCCTGATGTCAGAAAAAGTCCATTAAGGATTTCCAGAGAAAATAATATATTTTAACCTTGATCAAATAAGCCAACTTTGTTTCTTTCCTTTTACTTCCAATAATCTTGATCTTTAGTTCTAAACACACCGGAGAGTGTGTCATGAGAAGCAACGCTCTAGACAAGTCCTCTCCTTGTCCAAAGAGGAATTATCAGAAAGCAAGTCAACTCGCCTGTTCTTCATTCCGCCATGGCTGTTAGCTGTTCCCTTTAGTCCAACATTTCTTCCCCAGAAGGGTGAAAATATCTCAGCCTGATGTTGTTTCTTTTGGTTTCTCCTTAGGGCCAAGATAAAAAACATCATCTCAACTGAAGATGCAAAGGCAAGATTGCTGGCTGAACAGCAGAATAAGAAGAAAGACAGCGAAACTTCCTTCGTCCCCACCAATATGGCGGTGAATTACGTCCAACACAACCGATGTGAGTACTAGAGGATTTAAGGTCACTATTCTGGATAAAAGTTGATTGACATATAATCAAATGGAGACTAGCAGGATTGGTTGATGTTGAACAAGGTTGAGGTTAGAATTAGTTGAGTTTGTTGAACGAAACCTGATAGCTAAACACAGGCCTGATGAAAAACCATAAAATAATGATGATAATAATGAGAATAATATAAATGGTTATACACCACAGTGGTGAATTTGCATATCACACAAGGATAAAACAAGGAAAACACACCAAGCGCATGACACACTTTAAGCTAGAAACCAAATTTACTTTCTGGTGTGAAAAAACCATACAGGTAATCCTCGACTTACAATTCATTTAGTGACCGTTGAAAGTTACAATGGCATTGAACAAAGTGATTTTCATACTTAAACGGTGAACTGCAGAGATTCACTTAACAAATGTCTCGCTTAGTAACAGAAATTTTGGGCTTAATTGTGGTTCATAAGTCAAGGACCATCTGTAGTTTGAAACCCGAAAATTTAATACAGTTGATTCTAAACTAGCACGATCATTACATCTCTTTGCAGTTTATCACGAAGAGCTGAATGCTCCGGTAAGAAGACATAAAGAGGAACCGAAGGCTCGACCCCTGAGGGTGGGAGACACCGAAAAAACCGAAATGGAAAGTAAGTCATGTACACTACGGTGTTATCTAGCTACTTTGGTCTACTTCTCACAAGCTGGTAGCTAAATTGTTTTAGCCATTGTGGGAACCTAGCAGTCATATAATCATTATATAATAGTCATTAGTCATATAGTCATTATACAATCATATAATTGGAAATAACAGTCATATAATCATGACTGACCTTTGAAGATCTTTGAAGGTTTTTGAAATTTCAATCCGATGGGAGCAATGTATCCTGGATTTTGGACAAATTCTTTTAAGTTAGCCCATCTGAGATATGTTGATTAAAAATTTTGGGCCATTTCGGCCAATCGAAGGTTACAAACAGGAAGTTTTCATACTGTATAGATAATGATTTGAAACATACGGTTCACAGTTTTGCCATCATAAATAAGTAGAAAAGGACTTGCTTTGCCAGGCACCAATGGTGAGTAGGAGCTCAGAAGATTGCCCAGGTTTCATCTCTTTCAAATTCCTGTTTATGTGTCTATTTATGACATTTACTTGCCGCCCGTCTCATATCCAGCAACTCTTAGTTTGAGTGTCTTGGTTCCTTAGTTTGACGTGTGTCTCTTTCTAAATTTTATAGAGTCTCCGCCAAACCGCAAGCGCCCACCGAACGAGAAAGCCACCGACGATTATCACTATGAAAAGTTTAAGAAGATGAATCGGAGATACTGAAGCGAGCTTGTTTGGTTCTCAGAGACTGGGCTGTATTTCTAACGTTTCTCCCTTCTTTTCAATGTTCATTTTGCTTCAATTTTTCTCCACGAAACTCCTCTGCGTTGAAATGTATTGCATGTGCAAGCAATAAAGATTTCTCTTTTAAGTGGAGGATGGCCTGAAGGATTTGTCTGTCTGTGTTTTCTGCATGCGATGGCATGGGATGGAAATTCTTGTCATCCCACCACAGATCTCAAATAAGTTACTTGGTCCTCTCCAGATAGAACATAGAACAGGGCTGGGAGGGACCTTGGAGGTCTTCTAGTCCAACCTCCAGCTTGAGCAGCAGACCTTACATCATTCCAGACAAATGGCTGTCCAATCACTTCTTTAAAACCTCCAGCAATGGAACACCCACAATTTGGTCCTTCAAGTCTTCCAACTAAGAGTCAACACTGAATTGACGTCATATAACCAGCCAAATGATGGCTTTTTATATGCTTTCCTTGCTTTTGAACTGTTCTATTGTTCTTTTTACATTTAATTATTTGCAAGCCACTCAGAGTCTTGTAGAGTATATAGAAGATGGGCAGCCATTTAAATCGGAATAATAACTACATATTTGGGGATCAGAGCAAGAGCAAAGCAACTCATCCTTTTTGCAAAGACATGTCCTAGCAGGGAAAAACATATCCCACCCACCCCACGCAATAAAAAAGACCTTGCAACAATTGCATGCAATTCACACGAGGCTGAAACGCGTGTCAGCACTTGGGCGCCCACTGGCGGTTGGGGATGAAGTTGTCAAGACAGGATGCTGACCCGGGTCTACTGATCGCGCGAAGATCCAGAAGGCGGAAATCCGACTAGCGGCAAACCGAGGAAGGCGGGGAAGCAAGGCCACGCCCCCTCTCTCTCCGGCAGCCAATGGCCCTCCCGCCCCTGCCAACCTGCCCGGCGCAAAGATGGCGCCCACGGGGCCGGAAGCCGTTTAGTCGGAAACGGAAGCGCGGCGCTGAGGTGAATTAGGCGGCGGCCCAAGGGCGGCTGCCGGCGATGAAGCAGCTCCGAGCGCCCGGGGCGCTATGGGGCCTGGCCCTGATGCTGTGGCAGGTGGGCCCGGGGGCGCGGGCGATGGACCCGGTCACCGTGGGCATCGCCTTGGCCGGCACCGCCTCGGCCCTCACCGGCCTCATCTCCCTCCCGAGGCTGTATTGCTACTTTGCTGAATGCTGCGTGGAAAGGCCGGTGGCGCAGGTCGGGAAAGGTGGGTGACGTCACCGTTCTTGCAAGGGGCGGGGCGGCAGGGGACGTGGAAGGAGGGAGGGCGTGCTGTGACGTCAGGGAGGTGGGCGTGGCAGCGGGGGCTATTGACCAGGTCGTCCTCAAGCTACTATCCCAATTGAGACCAACATTTCTGTTGCTAAGCGAGACAGTTGTTAAGTGAGTTTTGTCCCACTTTAAGACCTTTCCTGCCGCAGTTGTTAAGTTGTTAAATGAATCTGTCTTCCCCATTGACTTTGCTTGTCAGAAGGTCGCAAAAGGGGGACGCATGATCCCGGCACCCTGCGTCCGTCATAAATGCGAGTTAGTATGCCAACTGTCTGAATTTTGATCACGTGACCGGGGGGGGGGGATGCTGCAACTGTCATAAATGTGAAAAACGGTCATAATTCAATTTTTTCAATGCCGTTGACACTTTGCAGGGTCACTAAAGGAATGGTTGTTAAGTCAAGGACCTTGGTTTTAATTTTTTTAATGAGTTTTGTTGATCTCCACTCAGGAAGTAGATAAAATAGTCCTCTCTTTCTACAGAAGACCTTCCGATTCCAAGTTTGAACGTTCTCGATGACCAGATAGTAATTCTTTTAATTTCTTGCTTCTCCCAACATCCCCTGCTGCAGATCTTAAGGACAATTTGGAGAAAAAAGTCTTCGGACAACATCTTGTGTCAGAGGTGATAGTGAAAGCCGTGACCGGGTTTTTGAGAAACCCAAATCCGAAGAAACCCCTGGCCCTCTCTTTGCACGGATGGACGGGGACGGGCAAGAATTTCGTCAGTAAGATTGTGGCGGAAAGCCTTTACGATGAAGGCCTCAAGAGCAAATACGTACACCAGTTTGTGTCTACTTTGCACTTCCCACATCAGCAGAACATCAGTCAGTACAAGGTAAGTGTACGCTTGGGAACTGCTGGGAAACCCAATGTTTTCCTTGGTGTTAATCTCTGCTCGGATCTGGGTGTTGATTGCTGGGAAGTGTGTTCAGGTCTTTTAGTTTCCTTTTCCAATTTTTGATTGGCTTCTTTGCTTTTAATCTTTCAGGACCAAATGCAAATGTGGATTCGTGGCAACGTGAGTTCCTGTGCAAGGTCGATCTTCATATTTGACGAGATGGACAAAATGCACGCTGGACTCATAGACTCCATTAAGCCTTTCCTGGAATATTATGAAGAAATAGATGGCATATCGTATCGAAAAGCGATTTTCATCTTCCTCAGGTTAGGCATCGTTCCTGTGCTGGGCTACCCCCCCCAAAAAACAAATTTGCTGGAGAGAAAGTACATTTAGGTTATACCTAAGAGATCGGCCGTAAGTCAAGGACTAGCTGTACAGGTACTCCTCAATTTAACGTTCGTTTAATGACTGTTCAAAGTTACAACAGCACTTTAAAAAGTGACCAATGACCCTTTTTCACACGGCCGTTGCAGCATCCCCATGGTCACGTACCGGTAATCAAAATTCAGCCGCTTGGTGACTCATATTTATGACGGTTGCAGTGTCCTGAGGCCATGTGATCCCCTTTTGCGACCTTCTGACAAGCAAGGTCAATGGGGAAGCCAGATTCACTTAACAAGCGTATCACAAACTTTAATAACTGCAGTGATTCGCTTAACAACTGTGGCAAGAAAGGTCATAAAATGAAGTAAACTCACTTAAATGTCTCAGCAACAGAAATTTTGGGCTCAATTGTGGTTGTAAGTTGAGGACTACCTGTACTTTATGGATTCAAACACAATACTGCCGCATTTCTGTTGCCCTTTGAAAGGTTATGTCCAAAAAAAAACCCCCACCTCTCTGGATTTCTATTCCCTCAAGCCAAAACTGCTTAGCTGTGATGGCTGGCACTCTTCAGCCACGCTTTGCAGGAGCATAGAAGCTGCTTTCAGCTACCAGTGTGTGAAAAATCTCTTTTTTCTCCAGCAATGCAGGAGCTGAAAAAATAACCGAAGTGGCAATCGACCATTGGAAGAATGGAAAGAAGAGGGAAGAGCTGCCTCTCCATATTTTGCAACAGACATTGTCGAATTCTGTGTTTAATAACAAAAATAGTGAGTATCACATTTATTTTTTTGCATCCCGCCTTTATCATTTTTACAAATAACTCAACATATCCAAGACAGCTTCCTTCTCCTCTTTTTCTCACAAAAACAACCCTGTGAGGTAGATTGCATTGAGTCACTGGCTCAAAGTCACCCAGCTGACTTTCATGCCTAAGGCTGGACTAGAACTCACTGTCGCCTGGTGCCTTAACCACTACACCAAAGTGGCTCTCATGCTTTTATTCATGGGAGGCCGTGAATTCTAGTCCTGACTTAGCCTAGAAGCTAGATGGATGACCTTGGGCCAGCCCCTCTCTCTCAGCCCTAGAAAAAAGGCAGTGGTAAACAACTTCCCAAAAACCTTGCCCGGAAACCTGCAGGGACTAATTCATGCAACTGCCAGGAGTCTACAGTTTTTACAAGTAGTTCTCAACTTACGACTCTGTTTGGGACCAGAACGTCTGTTGTTTATTCAGGCGGTTGTAAAGTGAGTCATCTCCAATTTTACAACCTTTTTTGCTGCAGTTGTTAATCAAATTACGATAGTTAAATGAACCACTTGGTTGTTAAGTGACTCCAGCTTCCCCCATTGACTTTGCTTGTCAGAAGCTGGCTGGGAAGGTCACAAATGGCAATCACACAACCCTAGGATGCGGCAACTGTCGTAAATACATGCTGGTTGCCAACCGCCCTAATTTTGACCATGTGACCATAGGACATCACAATGGACATAAGTGCAAATTCTGGTTATAAATCACTTTTTTAGCGCCATTGTAATGTTGAATGGTCATTAAATGAATGGTCGTAAACCAAGGAATAACAACAGAGTCAGAAGGGACCTTGGAGGTCTTCTAGTCCAACCCCCTGCACAAGCAGGAGACCCTACCATTCTGGATAAATGGCTGTCCAATCTCTTCTTGAAAGCCTCCACCGATGGAGCACCCACAACTTCTGGTGGCAAGCTGTTCCACTGATTGTTCTAACGGTCAGGAAGTTTCTCCTTAATTCCAGGTTGCTTCTCTCCTTGATGTGTTTCCATCGGTTGCTTCTTGTCCTGCCCTCAGGCGCTTTGGAGAATAGCTTGACTCCCTCTTCTTTGGGGCAGCCCCTCAAATACTGGACTACCTGTAGTTACTTTTGTTTTAATTGCATTACAAACTAATCCCACTGAAGACAATGTGGTTTTCTTTTGCAGGTGGATTTTGGCACAGCAACCTGATCGACCGAAATGTCATCGATTACTTTATTCCCTTCCTGCCTCTCGAAATCAGCCATGTGAAAATGTGCATCAGGGCTGAATTGGAATTGCGGGGCCACCCCGTCAACGAAGCCGTGGTCTCACGGGTGGCCGATGAGATGACCTATTTCCCCAAAGAGGAGCGGATCTATTCCGACAAAGGGTGCAAGACAGTTTACACAAAATTAGATTTCTATTACGACGTCTAAAATCGTTTTCTGCTTGCAACTTCAGAGAAGGGGAAAAAAACGAACCTATTCAGAGGACTCAAAGGAGAAACCAAACACTTTCTTTCTTCCCTCCCCCCCCTGAGATTTTAACCTATGTAAATAGGACGACTAATTGAGATTGGGGAAGAGCTGGGATCTCTAAAATTGTGGCCTGTGTTAAGAAAACAGTTTCGAGGTCCATCCGTTGCAAAATTGTTTTAATCATGACTGCATTTTGGTCCACGCCACAAACTCTTTAGGGACCACGTCCACTTGCCTGGAAATGAAAACGGTTCTAATTAGATAACAGTTGATTACGAAAAGTTGTGGGGTTGTTTTTTTGGGGGGGGGGGGAAACATTTGTGACTCCTAAGAAATGAAGGAATGTTTTTGCATCTGTGCATTTTTAAAAAAAATAATTTTGTACAAATTAGCAGCTTGAATCTTTCCAGCAATCTTGAGCTAATGTATGCTTCAGACCAGTGTTGGTGCTAAAAAAATAATCAGAAATGTGATCTATGGCTGCCAAAATTGTCAAGCAACAAAATATTTGACTGTATTTCAGGGAGATTTTTTTTTTTTTTTTTGTAATTTTGGAATAAAACACAACTGGCCATCTTAACTCCTGCCTGGGCTGAACAAGACATATTCCAAATATTTTGAGAATCATCTGCAATTCCTTGAAGCAAGAACTTATCAGAACCAATTGAGAAAGCGTTGCCTTTGTGCCAAGACCCAGAATTTGTGAGAATATTTTGATATTGTGGTCTCTGCAATCACTAGCAAAATATTCCTTTCCTCTACCCAGCCAAATAAAATGGCTTAGTGAAGCAGCTTTCCTTAACAAGAAGATATTCGTCTCTTACAGTGGTTTGTTGAACCGTGCTGGAATATTTTTCTGAATAAAGGAAAACAAAGCTGGTTGGCTAATTCTGCAGATCATTGTCCCACCCTGTCTGGAGGGCGTAACGTGGAAAATGTTGAGAGGGGTCTCATTAAAAGTTATTAAAATACTTATAATGTTGATAGAAATGTATCAGATCTCTTTTGAAAACATTTAACTGAGGGTAGGGGAGGAAAGAGTTCCAATAATAGAAAAAGGAAGAAACAGTTTCAAATTTAAGTCAATTTTTTCACTGGGCAAGACACCATGTATCAAAAACTCTATTATACATTTTAGCAGAATCCCTAGGAAGCAAAGCAAAGCAAAACAAACCAGTCCTGGATTTTTTTTTTTCCTAAAGAAAAAAAGACTGGAAAAAAATAATAAATAAAACCAAGGGCTGCCTGGCAAGATCATAACATGGTTGAGAAGATGCAAACAAAAGAAACACAAAAAAGGGTTTGATTTTTTTTGGGGGGGTAGAAGGACCCGCCAACCAGAAGGGCAATCTTATTGCAAGAGAGGCAATCCCCATCAGCATCCCCCCCCCAAGGCTGGCTAATGGGACCTGTAGTCCAAAGCATCTCCTAAATTCTGCATATAATCTTTATTTTATTTTGCATTTATTAAATTTTCAGATTTTTTTTTTTTTAAACAGCATTTTAAGCATTTTCCTGCTCAACAAGAAAAAGTTCTCTGTTGGAAGAAGGGACGATCCCCATCAGCACCCCAGAGGTGGCTGATGGGACTTGTAATCCAGTGGAAGCCCAAGCCGCCCTCTGATCTCTCCATCCTAAAAAGCACAGCTGCAAAAATGATGGGGATGTTTTAAAAACTGGGCCTTTGCAACGGGGGAGGGAGGGGGGGGTGGGAAGCAGCCTCCAACCCTACTCCAGCCTCTCAGGCACAAGGCTGCCTGGCGGATGGGATTTGTAGTCCAAAGGGTCCCCGGGCGGGGCGAAGGCTGGAGGAGGAGGCGGCATTACGCAGTCTAATCACCTTCACCTGTGCGGGCCGAGGCACACCTGGCCGTGATGAGCCGCTTCCCGCGCTCCGCGGCCGTCTCCATGGCAACCGCTGCGCGAGCTGGGAAACCAGCCGAGCGCTCGCGCCCGTGTTTGCGCGCGAAAGAGCGCGCGCCTTTTCCCGCCCAGCGCCCTCGGACCGCCTCGCGGGGTTCCTGTCTTGCACACCCATCTCGCTCGTGATTGGCTGCTCTGAAAACCCGTCGCTCGGATTGGCTGAGAGGCCTCTCTCCTCTCCGAGAGGCGGGGGCATTTAAAAAGTCGGCGGGCTCCCTCAGGCTGAGCGCAAGAATAAAAGCGAGCGCGCTGCAGAGGCAAGCCGCCGCCGGTACCGCGTCTCTTTTTCCCTCAGAAGAGACGCGATAGCGGCGTCTCCTGCCTCTGCAGCGCGCTCCATTTTCTTTTGGCACTCATCCTGAGGAGCCCGCAGACTTTTTCCCTCAAAAGAGACAATGCTGCGGGGTGCCGGGGGGCAAAAATGTCTCTCTCCGGCGCTCCCGCGGCCCAAGTCCTCGAGCTCGAGGCCGGGCAGGGCCTTTTGAGCTTTGAGGTAATTGTAGCTGAGACTTTTTTTTTTTTTTTTTTACCTTTTAGGGATGCGGAGGGGGGCGCGAGTTCTTTAGCTAATGAATAGCTTATTCTCGAGGAGTCAGGATACCACCTGTAGTAATTTTAACCACGGCGTGTATTCTTACGAGTAAAACGCCAGCGGTAGCTCAACGGTGTTTTATTCGAAGGACTCCAATACCATAGGTCACTAAAGATACTTATCTCAGTCTTTCGCTCGGGGAATAACGCAAACCGCTGTGTCTGGAAGTAATTCTAGTCAAGTTCTTAAAATTTTGGTCGAACCTGAGGTAATATCAGCCATGCCCTTTTTAAAGGGACCAAACCAGCAAAGGTGAATAGGAGTTAAAATTAGCTTTAAAGGTAAAATTATCTCAGGAACTGACTTTCCTCTTAGGAATAAAATGAATTCTTGGGGTAATTTTAGCCAAGAATTCAAGTTCTTAGAATAAAATTTTGGTGGAACCTGAGGTAATATCAGCCATGCCCTTTTTAAAGGGACCAAACCAGCAAAGGTGAATAGGAGTTAAAATTAGCTTTAAAGGTAAAATTATCTCAGGAACTGACTTTGCTCTTAGGAATAAAGTGATTTTTTTGGAATCTGAGATAATTTTAGTCAAGGCTCAAGTCCCTAAAAGAAGCAAAATATGTAATAATAATAAAGTTGGAAGGGACCTTGGAGGTCATCTAGTCCAACCCCCTGCTCAGGCAGGAAACCCTATACCAGGGGTAGGCAACCTTGGCTCTTTATGTCTTGTGGACTTCAACTCCAGAGAATTCCTCAGCCAGCATGGCTCAGCTTGGAAACATCCCTTTCCCCTCAACATGGCTGGCTCAGGAATTCTAGGAGTTGAAGTCCAGGGGTCTTCAAACGTGACCCTTTTATGACTTGTGGACTTCAACTCCCAGAATTCCTCAGCCAGCGTGCCTGGCTGAGGAATTCTGGGAGTTGAAGTCCAGGGGTCTTCAAACGTGGCCCTTTTATGACTTGTGGACTTCAACTCCCAGAATTCCTCAGCCAGCGTGCCTGGCTGAGGAATTCTGGGAGTTGAAGTCCAGGGGTCTTCAAACGTGGCCCTTTTATGACTTGTGGACTTCAACTCCCAGAATTCCTCAGCCAGCGTGCCAATCCACACGTCATAAAAGGGTCAAGTTTGAAGACCTCTGTAAAACATGTAGAAAACAGGCTAGTGGCTTAAGGGAACAATGTTACAAGTCATTGTATCTTGCCTTCTTTCACAAGTAGGATAAAACACATAAAACCCCTTTGACTGATTGCTTTTCTAACCTCTGAACATCCACTGGTCATTTGGTGATGTTGAATTTTTTATTTCAAAGGCATGAATCCATGTAGACGAAGAAGAAGACATCAACAGTAAGACAGATGGTTTAATTCACTCTCCAGTATATTATGAAAGTGAGGAAGCCTGGCAGGTACTGTTTGCAACATGTTAACTACTGCAAAAATCCTTGGGTCTTGCTAAAGTTTATCTTAAGACTTGCTTTAGCAAAGTTTTTTTTTAAACATTACAAAGTATCAAGGGTAAAAAGAGCAGTCATAAGTGTGACAAACATGCCTAAAAAGTAGCAAAAAAAATTCTGACCCAAGACAATTTTAGCTATTGGCTGTGGATCTTAGAATCAGACAGATACCAGCCTCCTCCAGTACCTGAGGACTCCCTCAGTGAGACTCAAGCCGGAAGGGGATCCTTTGGGGTCACTTCCCTCCCACCTTCACACCCTTGGAAATAATGCCAATACCAGCCAGACTTCTTAGAAGCAAAAGTAAACCTGGTGATGCAATTTAATATGAGGAATACCAATAAAGAAGAATATTTGTGGTTAACAGTTGAAATGAGGCGTCCTTGATGCTCTCTGAGCTTGGCGGTTTTCTTGTAGACCAGGCATGTCCAAACTCGTGACGTCATGTGACGTCATACAACGTATCGGGCCGGTTTTGCCCTTGCCGGCAATGGGGTGGACGTGGCTTCCACGTGACATGTCTGGCCCATGGGCCGGCAGTTTGACACCCCTGTTGTAGACGTTTGTTTACCAAACTAGGGAACATCATCAGTGCTTGAAGGGAGTGCAGTTTGCTCCCAGTTTATGTTCTAGTGCAGTGGTGGCGAACCTATGGGACGTGTGCCAGTGGCGGCACTCGGAGCCCTCTCTGTGGGCACGTGTGCCGTTGCCCCAGCCTTGCCTCCCCCCATGACCCCCTCCTCTCCAGCAGCTCCCCTGAAGGAGACTCGCCCTCGAGTGTGGCCCACACGGAGCAGCGCAGGTAAGGACATGGCAGCCAGGCAGCGTAGACAAGACTCTGCCCTCACACCCCATCATGCAGTTGATGCTGCAGGGCACGGGCAGAGGGCGTGGCCGCCATAGCGCTGCTGGGCTGCCTGGGCGATCTGCGGAGGACCATGGAGGCGGTGAGTAGTCCTGTGGGCAGGTGGGGTGGGGGTGGGGGGGCGGAGCGGAGTGGGGGCGGGGGCAGTTTTTGGGCACTCGGTCTCTAAAAGGTTCGCCATCACTGTTCTAGTGGCTCCTTTCAGTGTTGGTGAAAATGGTCTTGGAGGTTCTTTGTTGCGCTATGTGTTGTTGGCTTCTTTGGCAG